CCTTTAAATAAATGAAAAACATGAACAATCTATCAAAGACGAAATATGAGATACATTTTCTTGTATTTAAGATTTTTGTCATCTCATGCAATTTTGCCTCAGGTGAATTTATCTTGTTTTTTGTATTTTTTTGTATTGAAAAACACATTAAGAATGGGATTTTTTTTGTAATGCAAGTATTAGTATTATTGGCTAGATGATGGTTTTCTAATTATGAGAATGGCACAACTGCAAAATACCACATGTCCAGCGTTAGACAAACATTTAAGTTCCATTTATGTATATAAATATACGCTTCACAGTTTTGTATAGTGATTGCATTTGTGTAATGTTGATCAGGGCGTGTGAACATACATGTGGCCACTCTGGCGCTGACAGGAATGCTCTTCTTGTTGTTGAGGATGGCATAAACGTTGATGAGATACTCGATTCCTGGCTCCAGCTCAGAGACGGTAGCAGACTTACGATCTCCAGGCACACGGAAGTCCAACTGCAGGCCGCCTGGTGACGTCGGGACGTATGTAACCAAATACTCCGCCACCAGCATCTCGTTCTTCCATGTGAGGTTCACCTTCTCCGTGGTCACATCTGTAATGGTCAGGTCTTCCGGTGGTGAGACTGGGAAAGATATTAAGGGTCATTTACATCATGTTGAGAGAGTGAATGATCTTTTGTGCCAAATAGTAGGAAAATTATCCATGTCTCCACTGTGGTGACTGGAAAAAAACATCCAATCAAACTGCTGAGAGGTTTGAATTGAACTACACTGAGTAAATTAACTTAGGTTTCTTATTAACGGCAGTTTTTGGACCTTTTGACATGACTTTAATTGTTGTCTGCATTGACCTTCACCACTAATGTTCCTCTATATAAAGCTAATGGATTTCTCAGGGACACATATGGTGTGAGTTTGCTGTCAAAGTAAAAAAAAAAATCAAGCATGTTCAGCACTTTATTTGTGCAAAAAGATGGATCTAAAATAGTGTACTATGTAGTAGATTTTTTTATGTTTAAGTCTAGAAGTCTATTCTGCTCAGGCTGCATTTATTTGATCAAAATACAGAAAAATGGCAATATTGTGAAATATCATTACAATTTAAAAGAACTGTTTTCTACCTGAATATATCTTAAAATGTTATTTATTTCTGTGATCAAAGCTGAATTTTCAGCAT